CACAGGAAGAGCAAGGGGTCCAGGCAGTCCACCATTTTGAAAACTTGAACCTCTTGCCCTCACGGTAGCAATAGAGGTCAAGTTGAAGGAGCACCAGAGGCAAGAGACTTGCCTTAGGTCCATCTCCTGACCCCCAGCTGGTATTGAGGAGATGCTTAGGACAGATGCTCCTAGTGAGAGGGTCCTGAGACCTTTTAGAATGCATTTCAATGGGGGGAGGCCTTAGCCACCCCATCGTGAGTTTCCCATGAGGAGTAATCCTAGAGGGAGAAAGAGTGTTCTTTAGAATTGTCTCTGAGAGGCCAAAAGAGAGAGAAAAGCCTATCCATGTCCTCAGCCGGCGTCCTGGTCAGAGGACAGTGGAATTAGTCTGTGTGTATGTGAGAACAAATGAGAGAGTGTCCTCTGTCTCCTTGACCCACCTGAGACAGCACCTTAGCTGGTGAGAGCCCCAGGCCCCAGTGCTAGGGTTGGTCCAACTTGTGCGTTTGGGAGGCTTGGCACCAAGTCTTTTCCGCAGAGGGTCTCAGACCCCAGCAATGTGCTTCCCAAAGCAATGAGAAAGGAAAAAAAAGAGTAACCTCTCAGAGTGGCTTGCAGGACCTCTCTCCTGATCAGATAAACAATAGCACTCACCAGAGATGTTACTTCACACAGGACAAGGCTGAGGTGACAGGGAGAGGTTCGTGCCATGTGGCTCATCATGGGCGATAAGATTAGGAGTGAATAGCAGAGAAAAGATAGCCAAGCACCTCATCTCTCTCCACAGAGAGACTAGGGTTGGAAAAAGAGAAAAGCTCGATGGGAGAGGAGAATGAAAGAGCGACGGATCTCGGTGGGACCCCAAAAATGTTAGAGCACACACTTGGTGGGCCTTCAGAATGTTAGGTCAGGTCCACCGGGGGTGTGGTATCTGGCATGTGATCCGGTGGCGCAAGAAAGATGCAAAGAATCGCACAGGAGTTAGATTAGGAAATACAGTTTATTTAGAAAGTAAATTTGAATGAGAGAGAGAAAGAAGAGATTGACCTCTCCAAGGCAGGGGAGGGGGCCAAAGCCAGGAAACATGACCTGGCCATAACTTAAAGAGCACATGGTCACACCATAACTTAGCAAGGCAATGGCTGCTGAGTCCTTTTAATCCTTCCCTTTGATGGGGGAAGGCCATTAAGATGGTTGGGTGGTAGTCTGCTCTATGTCATCACCAAGGAGCAGGTAAGCTCATGTACTTGACATCAGGTGATGGACCCCAGGCAGATGGGTGGGTTAGTCACATGATTGCTGTTATGGTGGTGGGCTAGATGGGAGGAGATAAGGGGAGGAGTTTTTCCTGCAAGAGATCTGTCAGATGTTTCCAATCCACAAGCTCCTTAGCAAAAAGGTGGTCTTATTATTATTTCTATGGCTTCAGTCAGCTAAAGGGTGATCTTTGGCCGTCTGCCTTCAACAAGGAACCTAAAAATTTCTTAGAGATTAATATGCACAGCCATGAATTGAAAGATTGGGCTGTATTTGTCTTGCATATGATGGAGATTTGCCAAGGGGGTGGGGTGGGCTGCCAGCTTGACCTGCAGTAAAATGTCTGAATGCTTCCTAAAACCTGCCTATTGGAAATTTGTCTGTCTATTTCTAACTTGTACTAAATTCAAAACATGTCAGTCTAAGCAAAATTGGCTATGCTGAGGCAAAATGTGAATTAAGTTTATTCTAAGTTTCTTTGGGTCCCTACTTTCATCCCCCAAATGTGATTTTTCATCACTCATTCCAGGTGATTTTGATGCTGGAGGATTCCAGAACATGCACTGAGAAATACTACCCAGAGTTTTAGAGAGAATATAGTTTATTTAATTCACTGGTGGGTTTAAGGAAAGTCATAAAATGTGCACATACCCTATACCCACACAGCATACTCTAAACCTAAAAAGAGAGTTCCTCTTGGGTCTGTTTTAAATCACATGTCTGAGCTTGAGCTCCATAGTCAGATGGAGTTCATGCTTGATGGCTTTGCTCTGTAATGTTTAGCCCAGGTTTGAGGATAGCTGTGGATCTGAGTTTAGACTGATGTCTAGAGATTTCTTAGTGAGAGTTGAGCATAGGAAGACTAGAGGCTGTTATTAAGTTTGAGTGACTCATGGCTTAGGCTGTTATTGGGAACAGATAAGCTCTCTCCCACACATAATCTAGAAATCGCCAGATTTTTGCTGAGTCTGATTTTTCTATTATGCTATAGAATGAGTTTCACTAAAGTAAACAATGCTCTTGCCTGTAGTACTTATACCACAAGACTTGGGATGCCAACCGAATTGAAAATGTTTATTTATTAAATATGTATTTACTTGCTGTCTAGGCATAAGTTAGCTTTCATGCAAAGCAAGTTGCATGGTGTCCTAGAGTTTCCAGATCCATAGACCTCCTTGTTGTTCTCTTTAAACCTTTGGCTGGAGTTTATGAGGTCTCAGAAAGAATAACTTAAATGATACAGGGAACAGAGGAGCTTGCTCTGATGACATCTTAGGAAGGCAATGTCTAGTGGAATCTTTTAACATAATCAGTTCACCAGTTCAAAAACCATGTATTGAGCTATGTAACAAGCTTGTTACTATGTAACAAGCACAGGTTGAGGTGCTGGGAATACAGTAATAAATTGAACAGATGAAAACCCTTCTTCATGGAATTTATACTGTGGGGGGGGATATGGACGATAAATAAGATAAATAAGGAAAACAAATATGGTATGTTAAACAGTGATAAAAGTGACAAGGAGCAAAACAATGCAGGGAAGGGGATTATGAACTGTCAGGGCTAATTTTTTTTTTTTTTTGAGTTGGAGTCTTACTCTGTCGCCCAGACTAAGTATAGTGGCCCCTCCCGGCCACTGCAGCCTCGACCTGCTGGGCTCCGGCGATCCTTCCGCCTCAGCCTTCCAAGTAACCGGAACTACAGGCACGCGCTACCATGCCTGGCTAATTTTTTGATTAGTGTAGAGATGAGGTCTCGCCAAGTTGCCCAGGCGGGTCTCGAACCCGTGGGCTCAGGCAAGGCTAAATATTTTAAATAGGTAGCCCATGGGAGGCATCACTGAGAGGGAGGCTTTTGAATCAAGATTTGAAGAAAGTGAGGGAGCTAGGCATATGGACATGGGAGAAGAGCATGGCAGCAGAACAGAGGGAACAGCAAGTGCAAAGCCCCAAGGGGAGAGACTGCCTAAAGCGGTTGAACAACAGCAAATTAGCAGTGTGTCCAGAGCAGAAAATAGTAAGTAATGTAGTCAGATACAACAGGGAGACCAATCATGTGAGGTTAGTGGGAGCATAGATGTTATCATCCAATTTCAAAAGACCAGAATTATAAGACTACCATGAAGCATGAAACAAATTCAGAATAAAACCAGCACCTTTATTCTATACACTAAGTGTTAAATTTATAATTCCAGTAAATAACATAAGCCAACTAAACAATATCAGAAAGAGGTGATATATAAATTCACGGAGAACAGTTACATAAAGAAGTTAAGGAAGTTGAGATCACTCCTAATTTGGTGCGACTGACCCCACAAAATACAACCATGGCATTTGTCTGTCTTTTCCCAGAATAAAGAACAGAGTGGTGAGCTGGATTTATCATCAGCTTGACTTGGCATTGTGTTAAAAGTTCCTAGGCATTGGAATCACAAGCCATAAAAGTGTTTGGGACCAAGATAGTAGCTAAGGTTATTACTGAATCAACATACAATGGTAGTGGGAAATAGGAAGACATGCGGAAGCTGCAAATATCACAGGGGTCCCTGGCATGGTGCAAAGTTAGTTTGAAAAGAACTTAGTGGGTAAACACAGATGGAATTCTACCTGCTAAATGACATCATTTGCTACTGATGTCCAGGAGAGAGATGGCTTATCACTTGGTCTTCAAAGGGACTTCTGCTAACAGATATCTGAAGCTACTTAGGAATAGAAGGTGTTCTGGGGTGACTCTTTGAGGTGTGGAAAATGCCATGTCCAGAAGCTCAGAGGAAATGACTTTGAAGCTCCTATAGAGGAATTCAACTGTTGTCCTAGAACCAGATAGTTTGGAGAGATGGAGACCAGTCATAATGAGAACAGGGTTACAGGTTCCATCTCTATCCCACTGGAGGTGAGAGCATTCAGTTTCTGAGGGTCCTTTCATCAGCCTTGCACCTATAAACTCTAATATAAATAAAAGAAGTGTGCTCCCTATGAAAATGCAGCTTGCAGACAGACCCTCTTCCAACCTAATTTCTCCCTTTCTCCCAACCCTCCAATGCAGTAATCCTAGAGCCTTGCTGGTTTCATGGCACAGGTTGTGCATCTCATCCCAGCCAGATGCCCTCTTGTTGATAAGAAGGGAATATAGATCAAGAGAACATTCAAACCCCCTGAACATTCAAACTGCATTAAGTGGTTGTGCACTTATCCTGAGGACAATGGAGTACCCCTGTATGCTTTCTAAACAGAGGAAAACCCCAAAACTCCTTCTGTTTCTTGTTTTGTTGTTGTTGTTGTTGTTGTTTTTGTTTTTGAGTTGGAGTCTCACTCTGTCACCCAGACTGGAGTGCAGTGGCTGCTCCTGGCCACCGCAGCCTCGACCTGCTGGGCTCCGGCGATCCTTCCACCTCAGTCTTTTCAGTAGCTGGAATTACAGGCGCGCACTACCACGCCCAGCTGATTTTTTGATTTATTTTAGAGATGAGGGCTCGCTGCCCAGGCGGGTCTCGAGCCCGCGGGCTCAGGCAATCCACTCACCTCAGCCTCCCAAAGGCGCGGGATTACAGGCTGAGCCACTGAGCCTGGCTTCTTGTTTTCATCTATAAGGGAACCAGTGAAAATATGGAGCTTGCCTCTAATGCATAAGCTATTGACCGGAAGTGTAGGAAAAGGGGACAGATTTATTCTTTAGGAATTCTTCAGCCAGAAGAATCTCCACCTTTGGAGATCAGTAATGGCATATGGGTTGACTCATTTCTTTTCTGTCACCCTCTCCAGAACTCCTCTGAGCCATCATCTGGGCCTGATGACTCTCAGTCCTCAACTGAGTTTGCCACACTTGCCTGTCCCAGCAACACCCAGCTGCCTGTTGGTTTCAGCACCCCAGCCACCACACAGAGCTGTTTAGATTCTTCAGCTGCTCGACACAAGATAGCTTTAAATCCCCGGAAACAAAAGAAAAAGCGCCATCAAGCGACTGTAAGTCCTTCAAGAAGCCTGGGAATAAACTCCTATATAAGAAATGATGAGTTCCAACCTTTGCAAACTGTTCCTATGGAAATGGTATTGTTTAGGAGACCCATACCCAAAGTAGAATGGCGAAATTGAAGTCACTGTCCTGGGCTTGACACCCCCCGAGGAGTGAGCAAGCTTGCAACAACTGAGTGGGGTGTCCATTTGAAACTTACATAAAGGAGACTAAAAGAAAGCAGAAACAGCGAATGACTTAAACTCCCAGAAATTGCTTATTGGCTTAGCACCTGGGAATTCACTCAACCCTTTTTGTAGAGGATATGTAACCTTAGCTCAGATCAGGATTCTTTTTGTTATTGATCAGATGAGATCCATGAGTTACAAATTGCAGCACTGTTCCATTCATTTGGAGGTCAGGCTTCCAGCAACTCCAAGCATTCATAATATAATTGTTAGCCCCTCCAAAAGTCTCCAAATAGATGCCACATGACTTTCTAGCAGGCAGACCTATATGTTAAAAACATGGCCACGGATCAGATTCAGAGACCTGGCAGAAAAGAATTGTAACAGTTGATAGCAGAGAGAAATGATGGAAACAATAGTGGGCCATTTAACATAGGATCTCAAGAACCTCACCCCCCTCGATAGGTGGTAGAGCAACAGTGTATCATAGTCCAATGTAACAGATCATATTTATTATTTGTCCAGGTCATCAAGCAATGGTGGATTATGTTCTCTGATCCCTGTTTAAGAAGATAGGGAAGTAATGCTTTTGGAAAAGGTTTTTACTAAAGTTAAGAAGTAAAAGATTCTGGTAATTACAAGAATGTGTCAGTTAAGTGGAAAATTCACTTTGGTCAAGTATCCAATTACCCAGTGTTAGGTCAGCTGGTGGGCCAGTATCACAGGAATAAAGCAAAGAATTGCAGAGGCAAAGTAAAAGAGTTTATTTCCTTCCCAGGGAAAGGGACTGGGAAGGGATGAGTACTAAAGGAGCATGGTGGAGGATTTGAAAAGAGGGAGTATTTAAGATTTGTAAAATGTCTTCAGAAGCTGCATTCTTGGGTACTGATAACATAGGTCTCAGCTGTCAGGACAACACATTTTTGTGACTCCAGGTGATGGGCTGGTGGTCTGCCACATAGGTCATAAAGAGCTGATCACAGTAGATTAGGTCAGCTTGGGCCTTTATGGCAAGAAGACAAATACTTTGGATAGAAAGGCAATTAGTAAAAAGCATGCTTGGGTGGGGGTGGGAGGCTTACAAAACAATCACCAGTGACTACCTCCAGGGACCAATTCTGCCCCTGTTAATGATTAGAGGGTGAGTTAAAGTAAATTGTTAACGAAACAGGACAAAGCTTAACATGGCTGCTCTTTGGCTCAATTTACTCCATTTTGGCTTTTCACCCTTTTACCCAGTGATTCTGGACTCAAAGTAAGAGACTATAAATCAGAACTGGAAGAGACTAAACGACTGTGTACTGTAAGCATTTTCCAGGGAAGAACATTAAAACACAAATAATTCAGGTACATCCCCAAAGTCAAACGCCCAAGTGGTAGTAGAGCTAGGGTCAGAATCTAGTCTTCTGACATCCAGCCCAGTACTTTCTTCACCTCATCATGTTGCCTCTAGCTTAGACATCTTAGTCTTGCTTTAGGTAATGGACAAAATACTAGTTGAAAGACAGTTGGAAAAACAGAGAGGCCAAGGAAAGCCCTCTGGTAGCCACGAGAGATTTCCTTAGTTTGGTGTCAAGTAAGGGGTGACCAATTATTAGATGCCAAATCTTATACTGTATTGTCCCCTGGCCACCTCACCACAAATCTGGGAGAGGAGGAATGTTGGCTAAAGGAAACTTAGTGTGACCCTTCTGACTTTCTTCCTTCTGCATAGCCTAATTGAGAAATGGCCTGACCAGCACCCTCTGAGAAACCTGAAACATCTGCTTCTTTCCTGTGACTCTATCCGTGATGCAAGGATGAATATAAAAAGATCTAAGATCATTTATGACACAGGGGCTTCTACTCCTTTCTTTCTGTTCTGGCATTTCTTAGATCTGCAAGTCCTACAGGAGGTTTCTCCTGATCTCTAATGTACAGATGTGGCCATAGAGATTAAGAGAATAACTTGTCCAAGGTCACACAGCAAGTATATGATGAAAAGATTTGAATCTGGGTCTATCTGGCTTTGGCTACTCAAAAATAAATTCTTTTGAGCTGAGTCTGTTTGCACAGGCACTTCAAGCGAGAGTATAGAGTTGTGTGTTTGTGTTTACATTCATGCCATAAAGGCTCGCAGTACAGAAATTCCAGACACTATTCAGTGCAGTGCTACTCTGGCATTTCCAGAGCTGCATTGTAATTATCTGAAAACCTTGTTTACACTAAACTAATTTCTACCCATTCAGTGTAAGAGCTGAATGCTTCATCTTTTTCTCTCTTTTCTCCTAACAAAACCCCCATCCTCTTTCTTCTTTTGAGCTGGAAAGACATAATTCATGCTTTCATTAAATTCCCTGAAAAGAAGCCCAACAGAATTTGAATTTGGCTCACCAGGTTTGGTGTAACAAACCTGAGAATTTCAATGTTGCCAAGGGTATGATTGTTATAAGGCACAACAACTCTGTTTTCAGATTTATGACTTTCCAGTGTGGTTTAGTAGTTTCCAGGGTGTTTTTAGAGAGCTCTCTACAGCACGTCACTCAGAGATTAGACACTCCATATCTGGATGAATTACTTTCAATAGGTAAAATGATCTCCAGGGATATCTAGATGGATGCCATTGGAAATAACTTCCATCTCTAATGGTAGTTATTTCCAATGGCTTCCATCTAGAGAACATCAAGGCATTTTTCCCTGGTGTTTTTTTCTTTGGCAACCATGCAAGGGTGGGTGGAGAACACTTCAGTAGGATTCAAGCTCTTTCTTTATTTCCTCATTTTAGGCAAAACTGAAGCAGGAGGAGCCAAGCCTTCCACTGGTTTCTGAAGAACAAAAGAGTACAACCAAACCAAAAGAAGCCAACCAAAAGAAGCTGAGAAAAGATAGTGCAGGTTGGCACATGCTCGCCCCTCACCCAGAAACATGTATGACAGACTTCATTGCACAGTGCTATGTGGCAGAAGTCATATACAATAATTACTCAAAGCTGCTGCCCTTGGTTCTCAGAGAACTTTCGATTTAAGATGCAGATGAATGTGATCCAGGCTTCCCCATCTAAACTGTCAAAGTAATACAATTACCACTTGGTTTAGGTAAATGCATTTCCAACCAGAGGGATGCTTTGTTTGTAAATTTGTTTAGTCTTCTCTGAGGCTAATGTTCATGCATTCTTCTTAAACAATGGAACCAGATAAGAATAACAGAATTGGCCCCCAAAATCATTTTTTCGAAGATTCCTTTCTCTTCCAGAAGAGAGAAAAGGTCTTGTGTTAACAGGGAAACCACTCCCCATGCCTATGGGCAAAGAGAGTTTGGGCAGCTGCAGCAGATGTGCTTGGCAGCCAACACCTATCTCCCCAAACAACAAATACCACCAGAGTGAAAATCTCTTTGTCTGTTTGTGTGTGTGCATATGTGGATGTTAGCTCCAGCTAATGGCAAGTTAATTCCAAAAAATATTTGATAAAACAAAATTCCAATTCCATGAGTTGTTATTTCATGTTTTTGCCCCATGTGAGTTCAAAGACAAGATAGTCCTAAACATATTTTCCCATGAAAACGAACAAAACCACAAACCCTCCTGAAAAAAAAAATAGAAAAAAAGATTAAACAAATAATCTTTTTCAAATTTCTTAAATATTTGTCTCTTTTACACACCAAGGATAAAATTGAGTCTACCCACAGGGGTGGATACTTTGATTAGTATTCCATAAAACGGGGATGGTTTTAAAACACAACCTGCTATTCTCAGCACTGTATGCTGGATGTGAAAACACTAGATGGAGCTAGGGATGCAGCAGATGGAGAGGGAAGAAAAGCAGTAAGGGACATTCCACATGGGGATCAAACTGAGTTTCTTACAAAAAGCACTCGAAAGGAGAGGAATAATCTGTATAACTGCTACCTTATGCTTGCCCTGAAGCCTGTGGACCAATGCAATTGTTAAGGTGTTCCAAGGATTGCTTTGCATGTATATTACATAGGATTGTTTTAATAAAAAAGGGTAGAAAATAGAAGAAAGGGAGGCCCTAATCCTACCTCCCAGATAACTCCTGTCGATACCTTTCTTTTAAAAAAAAGAAGCACTACAAGCACATGATATGAAATTTCAAGCAGTTCAAAAAATATTAAGTAGAAAATAGAGGTACTAGTTAAAATTTCCTTTCTTCCTGCCCCAGTCAGCTTCCTCAAAAGTAATTACTGTCACAAGTTCAAAATTTGCATTTTGATGTATCTTACACCTAGAGGTGGAACAGACTATTGATAAAATGGTGATAAGCCAACCCCTGGAATCAGTTCATAGAACTGAGATTTTCCCTTTGATTTTTATTTTATTTTATTTTATTTATTTTTATTTTTATTTTTTGAGTTGGAGTCTCACTATGTCGCCCAGACTGGAGTGCAGTGGCCACTCCCGGCCACTGCAGCCTCAACCTGCTGGGCTCCAGCGATCCTTCCGCCTCAGCCTTCCAAGTAGCTGGAACTACAGGTGCGCACTACCATGCCCGGCTAGTTTTTGATTTGTTGTAGAGATGAGGTCTCGCCAAGTTGCCCAGGCGGGTCTCGAACCCACGGGCTCAGGCAATCCACTCACCTCAGCCTTCCAAAGGCACGGGATTACAAGCTGAGCCACTGAGCCCGGCTCCTTTGATTTTTAAATGCCCAACTTATAGTGGCTTATAGTGACCAAGTGACTGTATTCCAAATAACTGCTTCTTCCTACTAGGGAATTCAGTAGCAAATAGGTACCTATTGGGCCAGGGCACAGTATTCTTATTTGGGGACATCAAAAACACACATATTTCTCTTTTCTTTGTTTCTATTTGGCACAGGTACCTCAAGCCAGGAACAGAAGAACAAAACTAATAAGACAACAAAAGATAAGACTCCAAACACTGATGCAGCTGACAGTCGGGTTTATTCAATATCAGCAGCATATGGAAGAAGACGGAGAAGAAAAGGATCAAATGCTTTAGAAATGATTGAGTGTGCAGTCAAAGAAAGAAGCCTCCAACAATCCAGTCAAGGTTATGGTCTGGGCAATAGAGCTAGGTCCTCACCTACTGAGAAGACAGCCAGGAATTACCCTTTCTGGCAAGTGGAGAAAAATGCCATGGAGCAGGCCACAGCTCTACGAGCAGAAACCGCTACTCCTCAAGAGTTGTTTTCAGATAAAGATGACATTAGAAGGAGAAATGCTGGCATGAATTTCAAAGCCAGAAAAGCATCAGCACAACTCACACCTGAAGACACGGAAGAGTCTATGGCTAGTGGCCCACCGCCATACTCTGAAGATAGAGCTTCTGTAGCTGAGAAGACAGAAGCCATAACTTCTCTTTTGTCAATGGTGGAAAGTCTTTCTACAGCTCCAAAAGAGGCCATTCTCTCAGTGGCAGCAGAAGCTCAGGTGTCAGAAGAAGCTTTCAGCCATGAGTCACAAAATGCTCAGTTCAAAATAGAATCAATCCAGGATGTCCAAATTATCTTCAAAGAAAAGCCTCCTGGAGATGTTCTCCAGGCCTTAACAGCAGATATTTCGAGTATGGCAAGTGCTACGGCTAAAAGAGGTGTTTCTGCCGAGAGGCTGCCTTCCAGAAGCTTTTTCCAGTTCTTGAGGAAGCCTGAAGATCAAGGAGTCACTTCCAATTTTGAAAGTACTCCAGAGGAGGTGAGTGGTTCTGGTGAGCAGCTGACTCATGGATATTCTTCCCAGTCCTTGGGGAAATCAGAAGCCAAAGAAGTCTCCTTAGACTCAGAGAGTATCTATGAGGAGGAGGGTGGTTCTGAGGAACTGCCTCACAGTTACTCTTCCCAGTCTTTTGGGAAGTTTGAAGATGAACAAGAAGTTTTCTCAGAATCAAAAAGTTTTGTTGAAGATGTGAGCGGCTTTGAGGAACAGCTGACCTCCGGATGCCCTTCCGAGGCTTTGGAGGAGCCTGAAGATGAAGAAGTCTCAGCAGAATCAAATAGCTATGTTGAAAAGTACAACAGTGCTGAGGATTGGAGCAGCTCAGAGGAAGATCTGCCTCTCGGACACCATGCCCAGGCCTTGGAAAAGCCTAAGGAAAACCAAGATGTCTCCCTCAGTTTAGTGAGCACATCTGCAGAATGGAATGGTTCTGAAGAGCTAATACCTCCCAGAAGCTCTTTCCAGTCATGGGTGAGACCTACATTTGAGAAGCAAGTCCCTGCAGGTCCAGAGAGTGCTATTGTTGACTGGGGCATATATCTTGAGCCACTGCCTCCCAGAGTGACTTCTAAGTGCCCAGGGATGCCTAAAGTTGAGCAACAAGTCTCCTCAGGTCCCAAAATTACAAGTATGGAAGGGTCTGTTTCTGTGGAGGCACTGCCTCCTAAACATCATTCTCAGGCCCTGATGAGACCAGTAGTCAAGCAAGAAGTCTCTGCAGGTCCAGAGAGCACTGCTGTTGAGGGGAGCATTTCTATGGATCTGCTGCCTCCCAGACGCCTTGTCAAGCCAAGGATGAACACTAAAGTGGAGCAACAAGTTTCTTCATTTCCAGAGAGCACGGCTGTTGAAGGGAGCATTTCTGTGAAGTCTCTGCCTCCTAAACATCTCTCCTACTCCTTGATGAACCCTAAAGCTCAAGAAAACATGTTCTCACATTCAGAGGGTGTTACTACTGAGAGAGTCATTTCTGTGGAGCCACTGCTCCCCAGATGTACTCCCCAGTCTTCAACAAATCTTCAACTTCAAGTTCAACAAATCTTCTCAGAAAGCACTGCTGTTAAGGAAGGCATGTTTGAAGAGCTGCTGCCTCCTGGATGCCCTTCCCATGCCTTGGGGAGACCAAAATTCCAGCCACAAACGACTACCCTAGACTCAATGAGCACTTCTGCAAAATGGAGTGGTCCTTTGGAGCCGATGCCTCCCAGACACCCTTTACAGTCATGGGTGATTCCTATGTTTGAGCAGCAAGTCTCTGCAGGTCCAGAGAGCACTGCAATTGAGGAGAGCATTTCTAAGGAGCCAATGTCTCCCAGACATTCTTTACAGCCATGGGTGATTCCTACATTTGAGCAGGAAGCCTTTGCAGGTCCAGAGAGCGCTGGTATCGAGTGGGGCATTTATATGGATCCATTGCCTTCCAGAATGCCTTCCCAGCCCCTGATGAGATCACAAGTCAAGCAACCAATCTCCACAGGTTCAGTGAGTACTTCTGCAGAATGGAGCGGTTCTATGGAGCCAGTGCCTTTCAGGCGTCCTTTACAGCCATGGGCGAGCCCTAGATTTGAGCAACACATCTCTGCAGGTCCAGAGAGCTCTGCATCTGAGGGGAATGTTTCTATACAGCTGAGGCCTCCCAGACGTCGTTCTCAGTCCCTGATAAGACCAGTAGTTGAGCAAGAAATCTCCTCAGGTTCAATGAGCACTTCTTCAGAGTGGAGCGGTACTGTGGAGCCAGTACCTCCCAGATACACTTTTCAGTCTTGGGTGAGCCCTAAATTTGAGCAAAAATTATCCGCAGGTCCAGAGAGCACTGCTGTTGAAGAGAACATCTGTATGAAACTGCTGCATTCCAGACATTCCCAGTCCATTGGGAGAGATGAAGTCCAGCAAATGTCCTTTAGCTTTGAGAATGCTGCTGCTGAGGCTGGCACTTCTGAGAGGCAGTTGTCTCCCGAATATCCTGCCCCATTCTTAACGAAGTCCAGAGTGCAGGAAATAACCTCACGTCTAGAGAATACTGCTGTTGAAGAAGACATTTCTAAAAGATCACTGCTTCCCAGGCGTCCTTCCCAGTCATTCGTGAAGTTTATGGCACAGCAAGTCTTTTCAGAGAGCCCTGCTATCGAGGGAAAAAATTATGTAGATCCTCTGCCTTCTAATCATTCTTCCAAATCTTCACTGAAGCCTAAAGTTGAGCACCAGGTTTTCTCAGAGTGGGAGAGTGCTGACCCTGAGGGACACATTTCTTTGAAGACACTGTCTATGAAGCACCCTCCACAGTCACTAGGGAGACCTGAAGACCCACAAGAAGTCTTTGCATATTCAGAGAGTGCTCTTGTGAAATGGAGCAGTTCTAAGGAGCAGCTATCTCCCAGAAAGCTTGCCCAGGCCTTGGGGAAGCTTGGGTACCAGCAAGAAGTCTTCTCTGTTTCTGACAGCTCTCCTGAAGAGTGGAGGAATTCTGAGGAGCAGCTGCCTTCTGAATGCCCTTCCAAAGCCTTGGGTGGGGCTGAATTCCAGCCACAGATATTCTCAAGGAGCTCAGTGAATATACCTGTAGGGTGGGGCCGGACTGAGGAGCACACGCCTCCCAGTCACCCTTTCCAGGCTTTTGGAGGCCCCCAAAAGAAGCAGTTTTATTCAAGTTCTGTGAATGCTACTGCTGAGGGAACCATTTTTGAGAACAATCCTGGCAGCTGGTCCCTGCCAAAAGGCCCAGCTTCTCCAAACAAAACCAAGAAACACAGCCAAGGTTCTGAAGACCTCATAAAGAGCACCTCGACCCCCACTACCAAGCCTGGGAAATTCACCACTGCTCCTGCCTGGAAAACATTCATTTCTGAAGGCACTTCCTCTATGGGAGGAGTGCATGAGAGTGGTGATGATGTCGAAAACCTCTTTGGAGTTCGACTGAGAAGAATCCCTCCCTCACAAAAGTATAAGAGTGAGCAACAGGATAAGGTTACCCCGCTTCCTTCACCGCCCTTGGGCCCAATTTCATCCTCTGTAAGCAAGGAGCATGAATTCAGAAGCGCTTCCCAGGAACTCCTGGATACTACAAGGAACTTCACCACAACATCCAACCTTGCAGAAAAGCAACAGAGCAGGCCCAAATCTGAAGGCATGGCCAAGAAGCAACCTGCTTACAAGACCCCAGGTGAGACTTTTATTTCTCCAGATGGCAAGTAGGTACCAAGTGGAAAGAAGAGCTGGAAATCAAAGCCTTGAACAGTCCTTAAAGTCTGTTCTAGGCTTGCCTGCTGAATTGTTGCTTTAATAAGCCTGGCTTATGAATTTGGGGGCAAGATAGTGGCTCATTCTAACAGATTTGGAGGTAGTTAATTTTGAGTCTTCCCTTTCTCAAGGGGACCATCCCTTGGACATCCATTCATGTTCTATAATGGACACATGACCATCTCCCTATTCCCTCTTCCCCCATCATCTATACACCTTATATTTGGATGGAATTTTACGCTTTTTCCAAAATACTTTTACATATATTATTCCCCTCCCTAACACCATGTGGATTATTAAAACTAGCTTATTAATAGAGCTCTATTTTGAAAATGTCAGCCTGAAATCTTAATTGTAAATGTTTGTATTGCAAGTTTCTTCACTCACCCAAAATGTCTACGAATCCAGAGCTAGATGATCTTTTGGGCACTCATCTCTCTCCAAACCTTTGTACCTTCACACTCACCATCACATAGGTTTGTATAAGCCTGTAGCCACACCTATGTAATGTGAGGAACTATGAAGTAACAAATACGCTAAGATTTTCCTTGGAGTTAGAGGAATGACATCAACGGCCTGAGCTTCTGGCCTTCTTGGAATTTTCCCAGCCCACCTGGCTGCCATTGTCCTACCCTGATTTGGGAATGGGAAAAAACATGAGAAAGGGGAGGAAAGGGGACAGCTCAGCCCGTAATCCCGCGCCTTTGGGAGGCTGAGGTGAGTGGATTGCCTGAGCCCGCGGGTTCGAGACCCGCCTGGGCAGCGAGACCTCATCTCTACAATAAATCAAAAAATTAGCCGGGCGTGGTAGCGCGCGCCTGTAGTTCCGGCTCCTTGGAAGGCTGAGGCGGAAGGATAGCTGGAGCCCAGCAGGTCGAGGCTGCGGTGGCCGGGAGCGGCCACTGCACTCCAGTCTGGGTGACAGAGAACAGAGTGAGACTCCAACTCAAAAAATAAAAATAAAAAATAAAAAAGGAGACGGTATGCCCACTTTTAAGTACATCTTCTGAATTACTCAAGAAACTCCTATCTTGCCAAGTTGTAGAGAAGGCACAAAAGAAGGAGGGTCCTTATCCGCTTGATATTTGTTTATTTTCTTTCTTTTTTTTTTTGAGTTGAAGTCTCACTCTGTAGCCCAGACTGGAGTACAGTGGCTGCTCACGGCCACCGTAGCCTCGACCTGCTGGGCTCCAGCTATCCTTCCGCCTCAGCCTTCCAAGGAGCCGGAACTACAGGCGCGCGCTACCACGCCCGGCTAATTTTTTGATTTATTGTAGAGATGAGGTCTTGCCCGAGCGGGTCTCGAACCCTCAGGCTCAGGCAATCCACTCACCTCGGTCTCCCAAAGCACTGGGATTACAGGCTGAGCCACCGAGCTGACCCTGTTTCTTTTCTTTTCCTTTTGAGTTGGAGTCTCACTCTGCCCAGACTGGAGTGCAGTGGCTGCTCCCGGCCACCGTAGCCTCGACCGGATGGGCTCTGGCGATCCTTCCGCCTCAACCTTCCGCCTCAGCCTTCCAAGTAGCCGGAACTACAGGCGCGCACTACCACATCCGGCTAATTTTTGATTTTATTGTAGAGATGAGGTCTCGCCAAGTTGCCCAGGCGGGTCTCGAATCCGCGGGCTCAGGCAATCCACTCACCTCAGCCTCCCAAAGAGCGGGATTACAGGCTGAGCCTGTTTATTTTCATTTGGCAATTAACAAAGATCCCATTTGGGTCATTATTGTGGGTAAAGCCTAACCAGGCTCAAGACCCTGCCTGCCTTGATTCAGTTCTAACTCCTTTCATTCCTTTCTCAGAAAAGCCTCCTGGAAAACAGTCAGATGATGCCATCTCAGAGCCAGCTTGGCTATCTATGATAAAGCAGAAGCAGAGGGGTTTGCAGGCCTGCATTCCTATGAAAGAGCCGAAAACCAAGAGTGTAACTGGAACCACGACTGAAACTAAGGAGCCTAAATATGGGGTAGGACCTGGGACCTCCCAGAAAACACTCCAAAAGGTTGCTGGAGCTGCTGATTAAGCTTCCACTGGGAACTTTACCAGACATACTGCTTCCCCTCACTGGAAGCATTAATTAAGGCAGAAGGACTCTTCAGGGGAAAAAACTTCCATGTACTTATACAAACGTGCCCTGCTTTATACTCTTGAGGGATTTGTGAAAAATAATGAATATAAAGACAGTCTATAAATCAAATTCTGCCCTCAATATTCTAGAGCAGGGTTCCGTGGAATTAGTTGAGAAATAAGGAGTATATCTTAAAAACAAAACAAAACAAAAAACTAAAAGTGGTGTAAGAGTTCAGTGACTATCCTTACAGATATTTTGTGCCTATAAATATGTATGTGTTTTTATAAATGGAATCAAACTATACATGTTATTGTTTCACTTAACATTTCACTTTTGAACACCTTTCCATATCAGCCCATAATAATTTTACTTTCTGTCTTTGATGATTGCATTTCTATAAATTGATTTGGTTTGGTGTGGCCCCTACCTGTAGATTTTAAAAATGTCATGTGGTAAACACAGTTAATACTGCCACATGTGGGTAAGGGATGATGGAGTGATGCCTTGCTCCTCTCTTGTCAAAATTGCGTAAAACTGACTCAAGAAAACATATCAAATTTACATATCAAGATATGCCTAAGTTCCTATATTTTTAAACAACTACTGATTTTGTTAAAGGACCATTTGAGGACCTGTTTAACTCTTTACTTTAAAGATCTTTTCTTTTCATCATTAGTATTTATATGGCAGCAGGATCGTACAGAAGTAAAGCCCTGGTTAAAGCTTTCATGGGGGGGAATACGCTAGTGTATATAAGCTGGTTAATTAATTTTTTAATTATTAAAATTTTAAAAATATTTTTTATTTTAAAGATATGAGGTACAATTCAGGATTAGGTATACAAGTGAATATTGTATAGGTAAAGTTTGGGCCTCCCTTTGGTTTTCACTTTGCCCAGGTATCCTTATTGATGTTGTGTTCCCACTCTCCCCAACCCCAGCAGTATCCCGCTACTGCCAATCCCTTTCTTATAGTGTTATGGTAAATGTTCAGGGTCTGCTTATGAGTGAGAACATGTGGTACACTGTTCTTTGTTTCTGTGATAGACCACTGAGAATTGTAGACATTAAGTCCTTCGAAGTTGCTCCAAAGTCTGTATGTTTGTAATATTCCATTTTGTATATGTACCACTTTTTAAAATTTAGTCCAATTTTGATGGGCAGCATGGTTGGTTCCATGTTTTTTCCTATTGTGAATAGTGCTGCAATAAACATGTGTGCAGGTATCTTTTTTTGTAGAATGCTTTGAGTTTCTTTGAGTATATTCCTAGTAGGGGGATTGCGGGTCATATGGAAGGTCAATTTCTAGTTTTTTTAGAAGTTGCCCCACAGTTTTCCATAGAGGTTGAACTACTTTGCATTCCCACCAGCAGTGTAGAAGCATTCCCTTTTCTCCACATCCTCACCAGCTTCTGTTATTGTTTGTTTTATAAATGATGGCCATTCTTACTGGGGTTAGGTGTTTTATTAATGATGGCCATTCTTACTGGGGTTAATGTGGTTTTGATTTACATTTCTCTGATGATTAATGAGGCTGAGCACTTTTTCATGTGTCTGTTGGTTGTCCATATATCTTCTTTTCTTTTCAGAAGTGTCTATTCATGTCTTTTGCCCACTTTGTTTTGTTTTGTTTTGTTTTTTGAGTTGGAGTCTCACTCTGTCGCCCAGACTGGAGTGCAGTGGCCGCTCCCGGCCACTGCAGCCTCGACCTGCTGGGCTCCAACGATCCTTCCGCCTCAGCCTTCCAAGTAGCTGGAACTACAGGTGCGCGCTACCACGTCTGGCTCATTTTGATTTATTGTAGAGATGAGGTCTTGCCAAGTTGCCCAGGTGGGTCTCGAACCCGTGGACTCAAGCAATCCACTCACCTCGGCCTCCCAAAGCGCGGGATTACAGGCTGAGCCTCCGAGCCCGGCTTTTTGTCCACTTTGTAATGGGGATGTTTTGTTTTTTTTTGTTTGTTTTTTTTTCCTTTCAGCACGTTTGAACTCCTTGTAGATCCTGGATGTTAGGCCTTTGTCAGATATATAGTTGGCAAATATATTTTTCTCCCATCCTGTGGGCTGTCTTCCCACTCTCTTAATGGTTTCTTTTGCTTTGCAGAAGCTTTTCGGTTTGAAGTCCCACTTATCTATCTTATCTCTTATGGCATGCGCTTTTGGGATTTTGATCAGGAATTGGTTGCCTTCTCCAATTTCTGTAAGGGTGTCTCCTGCATTTTCTAAGATTCTTATAGTTTGAGGTTTTATGTGTACGTCTTTGATCCATTTAGAGTCGACTTTTGTGTATGGTGATAGGTAGGGGTCCGTAAACTAGTTAATTTAGACCACTTATATAGAGGTTAATTTGAAAAACCTAAACTGTAAAATTTTAAATATCAGGAGTGCTTCAGTTATATGTCAGCAAGTTGTGAAAAGTAGAAATCCTGTGGAACTCACTTTAAGGAATTGATCAGGTTTATTTGTAACCACTACATTCTGTTAGCTTGCTGTTAAGTGCTGGTAAAGTGATAAGGAAAGGAAAAGATTGTTCTCAAGTTAACATTCTCATGTTAATCTGCTTCACTATTTGTATAATTAGACAACTTTTTCTTTCAGTTCTAAAAGGTGGTAAACTTGAGCAAGCTTAGGTTTTGTGAACTTAAATTCCAAGCCAAGGGGCTCAGTGCTATTTCTTGTATGTCTATAGCTATATCTGTAATCTCTTTTCTTTTGGTTACTGTTGAACTCATAGTACCCAGGAGAGGGCTTGTACCCCATGGTCCTCTGAATAAGTAACTTGATGCTTTACTTTATTTTATTATAGAGATGTGGGGTACAAGTCAGGATTAGATACACAAGTAATCTACATGCAGGTGACATTTGGGCCTCCAACTGGTCCTCACTTCTCCTGGTTTAGGACCAGGTACCCTTTGTGTTACTGTGTGCCCAGGCACCCTCCCCTGACAGATGTTTTTTATGTCAGAACTTACAGGCTTTCTGTTTTCGTTTCTGTATTAAAGGGAGCTGGTCCTGAAACTACAAACCAACCAAGAAGGATTTTCACTTCTGATAAACAGAAGACAGCACAGATGAAGCTAATTAAGTCTACTAAGTCAGGTAAAAGTACATACCCTGAGCTCACCAAAAACAGCCCTCACAGAATGTTGTAAAAATTTAGCTATTTCAGGCTCGTAATACATGTCTCTTACTCCCTAAATCAGCTTCAAGATTTCTCTATAGCTCTCTAATTTGATACAGATATTTGCTTGTTTTATTCATTTATTACGATGAATATACGTCTAATATGTAACTATCAGAGGGTTTTCTGGTCTTTTACCTCATCAAAGAAATTGTCTAGGCACAAAACTGTGGTCATTCATTGATGCATTCTTGTGGCTGGGTATGCAAGAGGAAAGTACCAAGTCACTTTCCAGTTCAGGGCAAAGCAGTATTTTCTCACCTTCTACATCCCCAGTGAAACTGTTGAAAATAATTTGCTCTAAAAGCCCAGTGGCATTGAATTGTTTTTAATTACTTAAAAAGGCATGTTTCAGTCCCTCCATATTCTGAGCAGGGATGTGAGAGGTGGGGAAATGTTGACAGCTGAGAAAACACTCTACTGGGATATAATAGAATGATCTTGCCAGTAAAAGTTGTGTGCTAGAGGGAATTTTTTCAGCAGGGGGAGGGGAGGATGGATTTATTGAACCATCTTTGTCCTCTCCCTTAATCCTTCTCTGGAGAAATTAGACCATCATCTGGCCAAGAAATAGCAGCAGTTGACCTGTTCACAGCTTATTAATAGCCTCATGGGAATTATACTCCTGTGAAGTGGTTCTCAGTTCTCACTGTGCATTAGAATCACCTGGTGAGCTTTAAAAAATTACAGATGGCCCTGGCTCCAGTCCTAGAGATTATAATTCTGTTGCTTCAGGAAATAGTATAGGCAGCTGGTATTTTCAAAAGAGCCATAGGTGATTCTAACGTGTAGCCAGGACTGAGAACCACTGGTTGAGTCTAAGACAGAGTCAGTCGATCATAAAGCAGGATGAGGAAGAGAGTGCAACTGGGGAATAGAGAGGTAGTCTGTTTGGCTGGGGTAGTTGGTACAATATTGTTTAGCATCAACTTTTACTGGGTGTATCTATTGAGTCATTAGTCATTTCATTTCACACAACATCATGTATAGGCAAAAGAAAAATAACATAAGCTCATTTGAAATTTGAGAAACTGAGCGATACAATATGTTTCCCCTCAGTTCAAAAGTGTAAGATGATCCAATAATGACTACCCCCAAATTGGCAGTTACAATTGTAGGAATTACTTCTCAGGCCTTCCCATGTCCGGGCCCAGGTGACCATAGCCATGTTGATTTTATCCTTTTGACATACCAGCCATGGCATTGCCCATGCACTGACTTTTAGAAGCCTGGCACTGAAAGGAAAAGGAGTTGGAAAGCACTAAACATAGGGGGATCAGAGGAAACCTGAAAGGAAATAAACCATTTTATTGCATCCCATAAATAACACACCCCAATATCTCTGGGGTTTCTTATTGTGTATTTACCATGGTTTTAGTTGAATTTGAAGATCAGAAGATACTACAAGTGCCTGCCGTGGAAAAACAAACCAAACGATCTTCAACTCTCCCAGCCAAGTTCCCACAGCCAGTGGAGCTGGATGAGCCTGTCTGGTTCTCCCTGGCCAAGAAGAAATCCAAAGCATGGAGCCACATATCGGAGATCATGCAATAACTAGCTCCTGGGTGGAGCATCCGAATTTTCAATGATAATTGCTGATAGCTGTATTAATTCTATGTAGCGATCTCTTTACTGTGACCATTTTTATTAAGCAACAGAGTCTTAGAAATAAGAATTAAAACTTATAACTATTTGAATGAAACAAATGCCATGAATGCCTAAGCTTTAGTACAGTCACTGCCAACATCTGGAAACCCAGCACTTCCTCTATAAAAATTATGGAAAATGTTTGCACAACTATAGAACTGCCAAATCTTTAACTTTGGACAATGTGCTTTAGAAGGCAGAAAGCAAAAATATTTTGTCAGAGCAAGTGTAAGGTTGTCATTTTCTTCAACCAAATAAAGTAATTCTAATGAAAAGATCCAGATGATTCAGTTCAAGGATTGGCTATTAGGTTTCATGAGCCTAGATAAATGCTCCAGTTTTTGGTTGCTGCCCCAAGATTTGCAAAGGCTCCTAGAAGAGGTGGTGGACATGAAAGTTCTGGGTCACCAAGAAAAAAATTTTGCGTAGACAGTCCTCCCAATCAGCCCACTATCCCTTGAAAGGCCTTCCCTGTGTCCCTGGGGGACTCCAATGCCTTCAACTTGAGTGGCAACAACACAAGAGCACTTAACACCAAGCTTCCTCTTTGCACATGCCCACATCCACCTGGCAGCAGTGAGCATCTCCCTGTGAGGCAGAATACTTATTGGGGATGATTGCCCTCCTCTGGAGGGTTAGTCCATCAGTGTTTGGACTCTTGCCCCAACACTATTGTGACCCTCTCTAACTTCCCAGAAATTGCTGCCCACCATGTATATCCTGTTGTCTAAGCACTGAAGACCCTGTTGAAATTCACCATTCTGCAGATGCCAAAAGCTGTACTTTCCATCAGGCAGATGGTGAGCTCACCACCTCGACACAAGTCTGAGCCATTGGTATTCCCTTCCTCCCTGGTTCAGGCCTGAAGGTGGGACCTCCAGGTAGGCCATGTTGTTGTCCTTTTCCCTCAGCTGTCTCTGCTTCATAAAGTTTTAGTCCAAAGCAAGATTTCAGTCCCAAAACCACAAAGAAATGAACTTTCTGCTAGCTAGCAGCCTTAGATTACTAAATCGACCTTTTTCCACCCTGATTCCTTGAGGTACACACCTCAGAGGTTATTAGGTTGGAAAACCCCTACCTTTTAGTGACTCCCGCACTCCCAGCCACAGAGAAGAGGGATGGCCATGAAGGGAGAATGAGAGAGGAAGAGTCAGGACTAAAAGAATGATCATCTATGAAGGGCGAGGGCAAGTAGCCCTGCAAAGGTTGCCTCCTTCCTTCCCATCCTGCCACACACTCTTTGTCTTTTGTAGCACTGCCTCCAGGAGCTCCCAGGATGAGGAGTGAAGATGTACGCACCTTTATCCCCAGGGTTGGTTCCTTACTTGGCTGGCTTTCCAAGGTGCAGACCCTATGAGATCCTCCCCAAGATTTGCTGAAAGTTAGTTAAATCTTCCCTTCCATGCTCCTCCCTTTATTCCATCCCTGAAACCCACCAAACACTAAACGAGAGCGCCCTTTGAATGCCTGGATAGCGAACCTAGCCCATTTCCTTGGAGACCAAGAAGCTTTCCAGAATAATTGTCACTGCATCTCTCTATTACCTTGGGGCTGCTTTGCTCACACAGACATGCAGGCCTGGACGTCATATTTACTTTCTGAGTGGTGTGCTTCCCATACAGAAAAGTCCAGAAAGGCAGGAAAGTGCCAGAGCTGCATAGTTGGTGCTGGGTTTTGCTGATGATGGTATGGTGACACCGTACAACCGTATTATGGATTTGCATTTTCTCTATAAAACATTTATTTTTTCTGATACTGCATTTTTGCCTTTTTGATAATGCTAAGTTTTTGATGGACTGAATTTTATTTCCTTTATGTTACTATAATGAACATTTCATTTAGGTAGATGCCCTTTACCCAGGCAATCCTGGTAGATTAGCCGTTATACTCCCTTCCCATTTTCTCAAAGTAAGCCTCTATTAGGTAAGTCTCACTATGAGAACTCTCCAATAACAATTTCTTTTCCACAGTTAACAAGCCACCTGTTTTTAAATGAAGTGGTTAAGTTCTTTTTAAATGCCTAAATATACATTCTGACAAATTTTCTGCTTTGTTTTAGTTTTCTTGATTTTTGATATATGCAAAGCAAATAAATTCAATAAAAGCCTTTTCTGGTGTTAGTTTCAGTGTGTCCATGACATGGGGAGGGAAATTGAATTGGATATTAACAACTCAGACCTGAAAGCTGTCAAAGAAGCAAAATATTCTTCAGAAGTTGTGCCTCCACGCAGGTGTGCCTGAGCAAGCTGATGGCCTCCATGGGTATGGGGAGAAGTACTATTGAAGAGGTTTTGTGTATGAACACCTGGGGAACAATAATATAGATGGGTAAAGGGGAGTGTGGGTGGGGATGAGTAGAAGGGGCACGGTGGGTGGTTGTGGCACTCCAGCCTGGTTCAGGGACCAGGTCCAAGTCCTATAGAAAGATGAGCTATGGAAATAAGTTTTTTTTTTTTTTTTTTTCCAGAATCAAGGGGTCCCACTGTGCTCAGGTAACAAGGCATGCCACACAGTGAGGAAGGGAAAGAGGTTATAGACCAGCTATTTAGGCTGGCCCCCCTGTAACATTTGCAGGGTTCAGAACAAGAGTTGAATTGAGTATCCACGTACTATATGTCTAAATATCGAAATTGTTTAAGTCAACTAATTCAACCTGTTTTACTCACTAGTTTATCTCCTTCCATGACAAATGTGCCTTCATAATGACCTGAGGCCAGGTTGGAATTTAGAATTCTCAGATTCCTCTAAGTCAGAGGTCCTCAAACTTTTAAAACAGGGGGCCAGTTCACCGTCCCTCAGAGCGCTGGAGGGGCGGACTATAGTTTAAAAAAAAAAAGGAATTTGTTCATATTTTAAAAGTTTGAGGACCCCTGCTCTAAGTGCTGCCCCAATCGTGTGGGAGGAGCTGACCCCTTCCCTCTTTTCCCTTGCCCCTGCCTCTGTTCTGGCTCCTAGATCAGACTCCATGCTCTACTCCAGGCATCCAACTATTCTTTAGACCTGGGAGCACATATCCTGGCAGGTTTAGTCAGCCCTCTCAAGGTCTGCCCAAGAGGAGCATGCAGGCCTTGTCAGCAGAGTTAGGACTGTTCAGGGGTCCTAGGTACCTGGGGTATGGACTAACAGGAAGGTACCTCTTGATCCTATAGGTTCAGGGACTTGTATGGAGAGGCGTGGCTGGAAGAGTAAAAATGGAGCCTCTAAATCATAGAGTGCTGGACAGAAGTCCTTCTTGCCTGAATCTAAGAGCAGTACTATATTAACAGCTTATACCACATAAATACTAAGAAATTAGAACCAATTTGAAGCTCCTGAAATCACACTATATAGAAAACTGTCTATTGGCCTACCCCTTCAGTGTAAATAATGGTACAAGCAGCCTGGTGTCTCTGTCTCATCATGTGGTTCTAGCCATAAAGAATACTAAGTGACAGTACTTTTTTTTTTGAGTCAGTGTGTCACTCTGTCACCCAGTGTGGAGTGCAATGGCACGAGCACAGCGCACCACTGCCTCGACTTTTTGGGCTCAGATGATCCTTCAGCCTTAGCTTCTCAAATAGCTAGGACTAGAGGCGCATGCCACCATACCTAGCTAATTTTTTTTATTTTTGTAGAGATGAGGTATTACTATGTTGCCTAAGCTGATCTCGAACTCCTAGACTCAAGTAGTCCTCTTGCCTTGGCTTCCCAAAGTGCTAGCATTGCAAGCGTGAGCCACTGCACCCAGCCAGTAATAGTACATTTTAAAACATAGCATAACATTGGTGACAAAAAATGGCTCATGGATGTGTTACATTTACTTCACTTGAACAAATATAAATTGAGCACCTACTAAGTGGAAAATTCAGTGCCTAGGGCTTTGGGAAAGAAAGATAAATAAAACACTTTAAGGTCCCAACTATTCAGGAGTTCGCAATACACGGAGTGGTCGGGCGAATAAATATACACACATATAAATAATGCACAAACAAATACTTGGACACAAATATTCATAGCTGCGCTATTTATGATAGCCAAAATGTGGAAACACTCAGAATGTCCATCAACAGAAGAATGGATAAGCAAATTGAAGTAATACACGCAATGGAATATTCAGCCATAAAAAGGAATTTAAATACTAACACATACTATAACATGGATTAACCTGGAAATTACTATGCTAAGTGAAGATGCCAAACACAAATTATGATTATATGAAGTGTGTAGATAAGTCAATTCAGAGAGATGGAAAGCAGATTGGTGGTTGCCAGGGGATGGGGGGAGGGAGAAATAGAGAGTGACTCTTAATGGGTACAGGGTTGTGGGAATGATGACAATGTACTGGGATGAAATAGAAGTGGTGATTATACAAAGCTATGAATACACTGTTACTGAAATATGCACTTTAATTAATTAGTTAATTTCCACACTGGAGGTTTTATTGTTGATGCCAAATATTGAAAGTAAGGAAAAAAATTTGTCCCAGAAAATTGCCAAAGGATAAAAACTAGCTCATGTGTCATGCCAATGAAGCAGGTGGGCACCTCCCTCTCTGAACTAGACTTAGAACTATGAAAACAGAGACAGAATGGTGGAAGCCTCTTATGTCTTCTTTTGTTCCCCCATGCCAAAGTTAGGCTTCTGAAAGTTCTAAGAAGTTATTCAAATGCTCCAAGTGAAATCAGGTGAGCTAATGGCTTTCAATTGGGGTTCTTTCCAAGAAACCCAGTCTTAAGTTTCATTTGCAAAAAAAATCATCATCCCCACAACCCTGTACCCATTAATAGTCACTCTCCGTTTCTTCCCTCCCCTCATCCACCAATCTACTTTCCATCTCTATGGATTGACCTATCTACACATTTCACATAAACAGAATTTGTGTTTGGCATCTTCACTTAGCATAGGATCCTTGGCAATATTAACCCATT